TCTGAAAAAAAAAAAAAAAACAAAAAACAAAAAAAAAACAAAAAAAAAATAAAAAAAAAAACAAACAAAAAAAAAACCAAAAAAAAAATGGGTACATAAAAAACATCTAAATAAGTGGGAAAAAATTAGGTAATCACAAATTATTACTATTCAATGTAAATTTTTGCCAGTAGGAACTAGATGTAAGACAAAATGGACTATTCGCGATTTAAATTAATTTTTGCGCGCCTGCCATTTTTCACCTATAAGTTGGATGTTTGTTTATTTACATGTTTTTATTTTGGGCGGGATTTTGTATTTGTGATTTTTAACTGTTTTTAGATAATATTCTCATTATAATAGTGTTTTAGAGTGTCATTTAGTGTTAATTTAAGTTTAGTTTTCGTGCTTTCGTCATAAATATAATATTTATCATGTGTATGACTTAAGTTTGTTAGAAATATTCACCTATTGGTTGCTACAAGAACATCTAGAAATATGTATTTACTTTTATTATGTGGTTTAAAGGATATTTCAGGTACCAATCGTTTCTTATTGATGAACTTTTTTAAAAATCTCACTACCCTTATTCTTATATTAGGAAGTGAATTGTGTAGTACTTTGTATACATGTAAATGGTAATAAAACCGTCATAAATCAGATTGCAGTTTGATTCAACACAAAGTTTTGCAAAATTGTTGCAAATTTTCTCCAGAGGGCGTATCACTTAGTTTGAATCGCGAATAACAACGCATCGGAATTTTCAATCATATTTTCTAAATTGGTACACGTCACTGGACTTAGGACACATAAAATTTTTAATTTTAGCAATTATTTCTTCGGTCTCCAGTGATATTTAAACAGCATAATTTTGCTAAAGAACTTTATAAGTGGTAAAGTTTAAAATGGAGTAATACAAAAATTTGACTGACATTATTGTAAAATTAATTAAAAAAAAAAGACTAAAACCGATAAAGCTAGACGAAAGGAAGTAGAGGTAAAATCCCAGTCATAGAACCAATTGCTAGCAAGCAAGCAAGCAAGCAAGATTTTTTTTTTTACTTTTTTTAACACAAAACAAACAGGGAATTAAAAAAAGAAATTAAAAAAGTATTTGTTTCGGTAACGTAAAAAATAGGCCTCTAACCTTGATAGTGCGCCACTGGTTAAATTTTTCAAAAGTTAGTTTATCTCAAAATATTACTTTCTTAAAGAGCACACATTTGTCAGAAAATTTGAAATAGTAGTTTGTGCAAGAGTGGATATGATGGCCATATCGCACAAAGACTCGCCCGAATGCGATATGGATAATCCACTCGAGTTGTACAATATATTTTTTCTACGACCCACTAACGAATATCTACAAATTTAAAAAATATTTTAGATTATTAAGACAAAATAACTAATATTAAAATAATTTATGACATTTACTAATTTATAAAATAAAATAATTATAAAAAAAAATTTATATTATTAGTCCCCAGCCGAAATTTGAACGCGGGACTTCCGCGTGGGAGACAGACAACACTGTCTCCTCACCTCCACGGCCAAATTTTGATTTTAAACTTATTAACACTCTGTATCTCGGTAACTAAATCCTTTAAGAATTTATGTTCCTATATAAAAATTTACGAGAGCACTCTAGGCTAGAGCGTTGTCGGTCGAATATACTAACACCCTGTATATGTACCAGCAACACCCGTTAAATGGTTAAATTAATTTTAAGCTTTTTCCTCTTTTGTAACGTTTCCGTATTTATATTTATATTCATATAGTAGAAACCCCTTTTGTGATCAGCTAGCAACGCCTATGATTATGTCGTTCCCATGGATTGAATAACTGAAAATATGCATTAAATTATCGAGATAAAGACATACAGTATACGAACCGTATCCACAATATGTGGGTGTTTGATAATTGCACAATTAGGTTAAGTTAAATTATATAAAATAAAATATTAAAATTTTATTGGTCGTTTACGAAGCTATTATCAACACGCAACTGTTCGTTATTTTTTAACATTTCAATTTGTTACTCATCTTTGTCAATAATAATTATTATTAAATTAATGTGCTCTAAGCTTTGGATTTGGCATTTAATAGTGCGATCACATATTAATTTTTTAATTTCACAGTTGTTTTTTTCTGACTACAGAAAGATAGCGTGAGAAAAAATATACAGTATTTGTAAAGAAAACCTTCTACATCATTTTTAATTTAGGTAGGTAGTAGAAAATCTTTAGAAATAACAAAAAAATATGAGAGTGGTATTTGAAAATTCAACACTAGAGGTTTGTTTCTTGAAGATGATTTCCTAGGGGCTTGATTTGGGTACGTCAGATCAAATGCATTTGAACATAATATTCTCCAAATGTTCTTGTCAAAAAACTGTAGTAAAGGGTCTGTGGGTCAAAAAGACTACCGGTACATTAAAATAAGGGAAAACAAAACTTGTGAATTTTTTCATCGATAATAATTTAAAAAAAGAAAAAGATAAAAGAAAAGGAAAAAATAAAAAAGATAAAAAAGTAAAAAGAAAAAAGAAAAACGAAAAAAGAAAAAAAAAGAAAAACGAAAAAAGAAAAAAAAAGAAAGAACTGGTTTACCTTTTTACAAAGTATCCTTTTTATATAAAATTCGAGGGAGGACAAATTTTAGTAAAAATATTTACCCATTAAACCTGGCTATACAAGGTGATCCAATGAAAACTTGACATGAAGGTTTAGGGTATTAATATCGTGGATGTTAAAAATGCCCAGCAGGTCTATTTTATTTAAGAAGGGGATCCTTTTTTTTTCTTATTGAAACATTGTCACTTCAACCCTCGAGCAGTGGGGTAAATTTAAATAGGGAAAGAGCCATGGATGACACATCATTAAAAAAATAATTTGATGGAGAATTCGGCAAAAAGACTATTTATTGCGTTACTTTTGAGTTTAGCGTCCTCTAGTTTGATAAAAAACTGTATTAAGTGTAACACTTCATTTGAAAGCCAATTTATTAATTTAGCGCACCACATAACATTAATATAAATATCTCCATATTGTACTTGCAACAAAATAAATAATACAATGACTAATTTCAGACTGTTGCAAGTGTAATATGGAGACATTTAGATTACTGTTAGTCCAAGAGCTGTGTCCATTAAGTGTTTGATGCACTTTGAAATTTTGTAATTTGAATTCATTTGGATGGAAAAGCAGATTTACCTGTGTTGGCTAGACCCACCCCGGGACGCGAATTGGCATTGTTTACTATTCTACAACGCATACATGTTGTTGTAACGCAGTAAAGAATGACTGAACAGTCGCTCTCTATACGCAGACAAATGTTACTGCGACTCAGCAGTAGCAGGTGTTCAGACATAGTAACTATTGTATTATGGATACGCCTGCCATTTTCGAGGCATTGTTTACTGCGTTATAGTCAAAACCACGCAAATTTGCTTTCTTTTGTGACTATATCATAAAGATATCATAATAATAATATACTATCTTCAAAAATAAATAAAATACAAAGAATACAATAAATACAAAATCAATTGGTCATATTACATTTATATTTATTAAAAAAAAACTATTATAAAATGGTAAGCATACGAAGTTTAATCCTAGTGGGCATTTCCATGTGATTTTTCGCATTTGGTCTATTAAGATCAATATTTTTCTTTAAAGATCTTTGTCTTTTAGGGTTGTTTGGTATCTCCATCTTGGATGGGCTCCCAGCTTGAATGCGCTTTGCTCGATGTTGAGTTGGAACGCAGTAAACAATGCCTGGAGAATAGCAGCGTATCCATAATACAATATTTACTACGTCTCAACACCTGCCAGTGCTGAGTAGCAGTAAGATTTGTCTGGGTATAGAGAGGCGACTATTCAGTCAATGTTTACCGCGTTGCAACAATATGAATGCGTTGCAGCATAGTAAACAATGCCAATACGCCCCCGGGACACCAGGTACTGCGTATAATAGAAAGGGGTCGTAAAATATGACCCAAAAAAAGTGTTTGAATCAAAGGCCAACAAACAACAATAATTGAAAGTTTAGGTAATTCTAAAAATACTAGTAATTTAGGCAGACACTTTTGAGAGGGTTTATAATTAATAAATCAACCCCAAAGTTGATTTTTTTTTAATATGATTTGAAGTGTTTGATTCACGCTGAAATTTTAATAGCGTCTTAATTAAATATAAAAAAAATTAATTCCAAAAAGGCAGACACTTTTTCCGGGGTTTAATTGCCGGCCAACATAAAAATGAATGAACCTCGTTATGCGCCACTATGCATTGAATAAGTATATACTTTTTAAAAACTAAACATTTTGAATTACCAAGACTGTGAAATAATAAAACAATCATATTTTTTTTTTTTTAGGAAAAAAAAAACAAAAGGTTTCGGGGCTCGAACCACCAACTTGCTATCCACACTATCCAAATTTTGATAAATGCCGTACGCCACTGGCAAAGGTTTTTTTAACTTATTTTTTGCTGATAAGTGTATTTTATAACACCAAAAATGTTTATCGAATTTAGTAAATTTATATTAAGTAATAAACAAATTATAGACATTATTTTTTTTTTACGAATTTTAAGCATGTCCCATTTTTATTTGAACACCCTGTTGTATCCATATGGATTTTTTTTTAAATATTACTTATTTAAAAACTTTAAAATCCCACAACTGACATTAGTTATCTGTCAAATTTGCAATTTTCTTTCAAAATTCGTTTAAAAATTGCCTTTTTTAATGCAAAAAAAGTTATTAGAGAAACTTGTTTCAAATGACATTTTACGTCAAAATATCGAATTTGAACGAAATATTCCGACTTTTTTTAACATTTTTTTATACACCCCCGTAACTGACAAATTATACATGTATATATAAACTACACCGACATTTTAAAACCATTTTTCACTCAAATTTTAAATATATTTCCCGTCGCATCGTTAATATATGAATTTTGAAAAATTGAATGATATTAAATGATTTTTTTTAATAAATGTACATTTTTAAACTACATACTTTCACGGTGGCCTTATCGCCCGTAGCCGGGCTGTTTTGCGGTGATGGCTTCTTGGGGCTATCCATGTTGTTTCTTGTTAAGGCACACCTGACTGGTGAGCCTTGAGTTACGGCGGGCGCCGGAGATACATCACTGAAACAAAAAAGAAACGCTCTAGAAAATTTTATTTTGAGTTAAAAACATAAAAGTAAAAATAATCGTTCCTGTTTCTAACTTTTAGAATTATTTTTACTTGAAAAAAGCTGCTGATTTCAATTTAATGACTATATAAACAAGAAAAGGACGTTTTTATTATTATTACTAATGTAATGCGAGCCATTTTTGACCAGTCCAGCAAACTTTAATCCCTTAAGTTCATCTAAGCCTTATTTGTGCCACTTACGGACCCATTTGTCCGATTACTAAACAAATTAAACAAAAAAACCAACTACAAACTCCATAGGATATGCATATGGTGGAAGGACGTCTAAAGTTTTCGTAGAAACTTCTGATGAATGCGAGAACATTTGGGTTCGACATATTTTTTATATACAAAGGCTGTTTTGCTGTTGCAGTGAGTTAGTTGAAGCCGAGACATCGCTATAAGCAGATTAATATTGTCCTTATAAATTAGTATTTAAGTAAATGTGTTAGATAAATAAATTAGCGTATTTGGTGTAAATTATAAATTTTTAAACTGCAAAAAAATCTCATCTATTTTATATTTTTATATTCTTATTACGTTTATTTGTCGGGATCTAAATTAATTAAGACCCCACAGACAGACACCTTACACATTGAAAAGAGATTTAACTTTGTCGTCTATAATCAACGTTTATTATTTCCTGAAATCATAATCGTTTACATAGGCACTTTGATGGATAGTGCCTCCGCCTTTGTTGGCTATTCGGTTCGAAAAGAAAAGTTGACAAGAGGAAGTACGGGTAATTAGTGACAACAACGAAATGTAACTTTCGACTTCTTTTATCGTCACTGGTTTGAAATAACTGTAAAAACAAAGAGACCAGCAGGTACGCGCGCTTAAAGTGACAGATGGTTTATTTTGAGCACGTTATTTTTAATATTAATTTGTATGAAAAAGAAGTGAAGAAAGAGTTGAAATTTGTTAACTACCTATACGGTTATTTATAGTAGAAGTAAAATGACCTCGTAAATATTTATATTTATAAAGATAGATAATAATAAATTTGAAATTTGATTTGGTAACTGTAATATTATGAAGCGTAACCACAGTGGTTTATAAAATATTATTTTTTAGTATATCTACTAAACATTCGAGTCCTATATACATTTTCGTACTATAGGGTGATCTGATAATAAATTAACTGTTCAGAATTGAATACTGTTTAATCAGAAATAGGAATCATTTAGCCAAACATATTCTTTCGGTTTTCACATTAGAATTTGTAAATGATTGTGATTCTTACAATGTTTATAACACTTTTCCCAGTCTGAAAGGAAATGATTTATAATAATAGGGTATTTTTAAATTATCTTTTTGATTATAACAATTAAAATATGTAAAATAATTTCAACAACTGTCTTTTTTAGGTATGCGTATACTGTCCTGGAGGCCATTAGTTTTATTTAAAAACTAAAAGCCCATCTGGGAACCGTTTACATTTAGCTTTAGAGGGTTATTTAATAAATGATGTTGTACGCTTCATATTTTGCCCTTTTACCGCTATCTACAATCTACCCTCAAAGATTATAGAATCCCCTATTTTATCAGATTATAATCTTACACAAAGAGTTATTCGTTTGTAGTCCAATGTGAACATCGACTTCGTTTCGTAGGGCATCAATCATTTTATTATTAACCGTTTGACAAGAAAAAAATTGGCATCATCAGTGTGGATTTATACAAGGAAGCTCAGCCGTTGTTATTTGTGCAATCTCTTTTTCCGAAAGGCGTCGATGTATTGCAAGACTATCGTGTTTTGATATTGCTCTTCTTTGCCATTTATTTCGAAAATTTGTAGTTTTGCATTCTAATGGTGATTACTGTTGAGTGATGTAATATTTTCCTCCTTTTTTGGAAGATCCCAAATTTCCCCATACTCCCCCACTCGATGTATTTTAATTTGCTCATTTTGGAAACCAAAGAAAATTCATTAGAAAATCATTTTTTTAATAAGTCATGTCAAATAAAATTTTAATGACAAATAAAATTTTAATGACAAATAAAATTTTAATGACAAATAAAACAAGTGAATTAAAATGTTTATATTATCAGATCAGTCCCATCACAATACATAACATCATTCAGATACAAACTAGAATGAAGATTTATAATGACTTTTCAGAATCAATAAGCTTCATCCCCCTATAGAGCTTGATTTTTACTTAAAAATTTCATGTTGTTATTGCTTTTCATTTTTGATTTGTGATTTTTTTTTAATTTTAACCCCCTTTGAAACACCCATTTTTAATAGATTTTTCAAAATTAAAGAGCTTCGCCTTATAGAGCTTGATGTTTCAATTTCAATTTGATATCATTTTTAATATTTTAATCCCTCAATTTATTCAGATTTTTTTGGATTTATCTTCTTATAAAGTTTAATTTTTACCAAAAATTTCATGTTAATATCGCTTTTCGTTTTTAATTTAGTATTAGCTCGAGTTTGACATATGACTAAAAGTGTTAATGCAAAAATGCGAACACTTTTAGTATCGTCATAGCATCTCCTCTTTATTCTATATCATTGATTAGAAAGATTCACAAAAGTAGACATCTAAGAAACACATATCAGAAGAAACTTTATTTTTCAAAGAAGAAATTTAATTTTTTAAAGAAGAGATGAGAAGAAGTTGTAGTAGAAATGTTTCCGTAATCGTAATCGCAAAAACAATCCTACTGACGTATATGACAGAACTGACAATTAAGTTGTCATAAAAGTCACTTTAAAGGTAATTTCCACTTAACTTTTCAATTATTTTTTAGATCATGTGGGATACGGGTATTGTTGAGGACACTTTATATTTTGTGTTTTTATATAATAAAAGTCTTGAAGGCTCATGGCTTTCTGGTGTTACTGATTTTCGACTCCCTGCCTCCTTGATCGATTGCAACAATTTTTCTATGGGCTTCCTCTTTTCCTCTTCTACCAATGATTTCCTGGCATGCTTGTCGTGAGGATTTCTTTGAACCATCTTGCTCTCTGGGATTTTATTACTCTAGTAATAATTAGGCATTCCAAACTGAATGGCTACCAGTGGGTTTTGACGGGTTATGATATGGCAAAATTATGGCAACCCTGTAGGCCTGGTGATTTGACAAGGTCAATGAAATAGATAGTTACATAGATTGATTATCCATATTTTTCAAAATAAACAAGCTTATGCCTTGAAGTAAAAATGTAAGCAATTATTTTTTTTTTTTAAATATGTAAAGGCTAAAAATTGGTTTTAAAACACATTTTTGCTAAACCGATTGAAATTAATAAATATTTGCCAGGCAATATGGCCGCTCGTAAACGACCAGCTTTGAGCAATCTATATAACTATATATGTATCATGGACCCTGTTAATGTCAACAGGGTTGCCATATCTAAACTGTAATTACCCACTGGTAGCCATTTGGACAGGTCGTTGGAATGCCTAATTGGGCTATTATATGCATCCATTACTTCTTTATTTATTTTTTCATCTCTTTGTTATATTGTTCATAATCATCCACATATAAAGAACAGAGTGAATCTTTTATAATTATGGGCTTTATTATAAAAATATTGTAAATAAATGTTTTTATTGAATTGAAATTTCTCGTAGATATGTCAATTTGGTCGAACGCTAATTAATCCTAAATTTATGTTAATCTCTTGCAATTACAATCCCGGTTTCAGTCAATTTAATATGAAATTTATCGATCGGTTTATTCTCGAAAAATAAAAAAATATCTAAACTAACGCAATACCGCGTAATAACATTTGAATAATATCCACCTGGGTCGAAGAGGTGATGTAATGGTTCCACACCTACGTGCTCCAACGCCAGCGAGTCTGCTTCGTTCGAAACAACTAAAATCTATCACCTGGGTAGGGTATCAAGTACACCTTTCCCTAGTGCTTCGACGGTCACGACGAGCTCTGCAAGGTTAGATCGAACTCGTGAAAGGATGTCGATGTTTATATTTATATAAAATCACACTTATATTATTTATAAACATAGTAGTTTTTTTTTGTGGAAATGAAAGCCGTGGGAAATAGGTTAATGGGATTAAAATATCGTCAATAAAATATTAAATAATACAGGAAAATGCTAGGTGTTAATTTTTCTTTTAGATCCAAAATTCCAATCAATGAAGAATTAGGCTCAATGAACTTACAATATATTAATGTGAACTTACATGTTAAAAAGAAAAGAACAAGACCAGTTTTAATGGCAGGTATCACGGGAGGTGTGGGGAAAAATGAGTTCTTGACGAAAAAGAGATAAATACAGCCGAAATGAAATTAAATAGCGTAGGAAAGTGTTGGATGAGAAGGGATTCAAAAGAACTTAAAAGAAATGAATTAGGTATGAGATCAGCGAAGAAAATTTTAGACAAAAAAAAATTGGGATGGTTTAGGCAGGCATTCCGTGAGGATCAATGAAAAACGGCAAGTAAAAAGGATTTGGGATGCAAAACCAACTGAAGAGTAGTAGCCCAGTATATGTATCAATCAGTACTGGCCATTGAGATAGAATAAAGAGGAGATGCAATCACGATGCTAAAGTACAGTCCTCAACTTTCTTAGGCTAACATTAAAGATACCTAGTTGGACCTCGCTAAGAAACTCATTGGTAATAGCCATCATTTTGTTAAAAGGAGATACACTACTTGGATTTAAATTAATTAATTTTTTGTTACTTGGGATTCTTAGATTATTCTTTGCCACATTAAAATTTATATAGTCAATCAAATCACAATCTTTGTACTTAATATTATTTAAAATAGAGTACAAAATATATTACAGCCTGTTGCTATCTTCTTTGTAAAAGAGATTTAATCCTAAAGCTATCGAGCATAGTTTTATATGAGATCTTATAAGGATACGAGTATTTTTTAAGACATAAAGGTATTGTAAAATTATTTTTTGTACTTTTTCAATATGATAAATATGTGTGTGGTTTCAAGGGCATCCATATCT